GCACCTCAGCCCGTGGCGCATGGGAGCACTTAATACTCAGGAAGCTGGTGTGATGCTAAGTGAGGGGCGGTGGCCATGGCAGATGGGTGGAGACACACCAGCGCTGATCTCAGTCCGCCAATCCCAGCTCTCCCACCTGCAGGCTGGGGCAGAGGGAGCACAGCACCTCCCCTCGAGACACCGGACCTAATGGCAGCCTCAGCCTGGCTGGCTGTGCCTCGCCCCACTGCACTGCTCTGAGCTGGGTTTCCTCTGTTCAGAACCCAATGGTAACACTGGTACCACCTCACCCCTTCCTCCTGGGTGATGGAAGATTCGAAGGTGTCTCTGGGACTGGAAGGGGAGTTGCTCAGTGCAGGCTGGCACCCTGGGCAGGCTTCCTAGGAGGAGGCGCCTTAGGATTTCGGGGTTGGATCTGGCAAAAACGTGGATCTGGGGAGGATGATGCTGCCCTCTGAAATGCTCACTTCCTGCACCTGTTTTCTTTGTTAAATTCACCTGAGCTACTTCGACTGTCAAGACTCAGCTTTTGGTGTCACCTCCTCCAGGAGGGCCCCCTGACCACAACTCTCTCTTTACCCAGAGGCCACCATTGCCCACTCGCGTCAGCCTCCTGGCTGAGACTACCGAGTTCGAGGGTGGGGCCTTCGCCATCTGGGAGCTGGGTTTTACCTGCTAACTTGCTGGCCGGCTCCTCCAGCTGGGTGTGAGAGCCCAGGAGGCCACTGGGCTCCTAAGAAAGGCTGAACCCAGGCCTCTGGGTCCTGGTGAGATCCCACCCAGGCTGGGGAAACACCTTGTCTGCCCCCCACCCACCTTCAGGTCAGGAAGATGATGTCACGGAGCACCAGGTACACCTTCAATGTAGAGGGTCTCTCGCTGAACTCCAGTTATGGTTACAGAGCTAATGGCCTTGAGGCAGAAGTGCCTCGCCAGCTGCCATGGCCCAGCCGTGGCAGGGCGCCAGCCGGTGTGCAGGGCGCCAGCCGGTGGTAGGCCACGCGCTCGCTCACATGTCCTGGGTGTGGCAGGCTGCATGGGCAGTGAGATGTGGTTCCCTGGGACAGAGGGCACATGCTCCTCAGGAGCAGTATACAGATCCCAGGCAGCACAATCTTGGCTTGTCTCCAGGCACCTGTGGTCACCTGGGCAGCTCTGGCTGCCCTCTCAGTTCCCAGACTCACTTTCCCATCTGCAAAGCAGAACTAGTAAGGCCTGCCCCTGTCTACTGAGAGGCTGGCAAGAAGTCGGACTTGGATGGCTCCAGCTCTGTGTCTACACATGGCCACCTGCCTTGCTCACTGGCTTGAACCAGGGGAGCCCAAAAGCCATGCAGTCCAGGTGCCCCGGCCTCCTGGCTCCAGCAACCCACAGACGGAAGACCACTCCTCCTTGGGTGTGTCATGACTGTGAGCCTCTACCTTGGGGAGTCAGCTGTACACCTTACTGCACTGGGCCACGGGCACAAGGCCCTGGGGCATGTGGCTCCGGCCCAGGCCCCTGTCTCAGACAGATCACCTTGGCACAGCACCAGGGGATGCCCGGCCTTAAGGGGCAGACTGCTGGAAGGGAACTGGGATTTTATCAGCCAGAGAGTCGTGTTGATGAGGGTGGGAAGGGCACAAGATATGGGGAATGCCACTCATGCCAGCCTGCACACAAAAACCAACGAGATGCCTGGCATGTCTGGAAGGCAGTGGCACACCTGGGCGGCCCCTGTGGTCAGCAGCGGGAACAGGCAGAGGAAGCAGAGCTCAGTCAGGCAGGGAACTCTGCACTGCGGAGAGACCCTGGCTGGGCTCTGGCTGAGACTTGGACGGGGAAGCCAGTTGGGCGCAGATCTGCCTGCCTGGACAGGGAGACCAGGAAAATCCAGCAGCTGTTTCAGAGCTCCTGCCCAGGCAGACCCTGGGAGGCTGGGCTCAAGCAGTGTGGGTCCCAGCAGGGGCGGGGCTCAGGGACTTGCCCAGAGTGATCCTGAGTGCTAGGAAGCCATGTAGGCAAACCCAAGCTCCTCCTGGGGCTCCTCCAGTGTGGCCAGCAGTGACACCAGCTTGTTGCACAGCTGTAGCTGCAGCTCCACCTTGCGGTTGTCCGTAGTCACCGCCGGGGCAGGGCCCGGTCCTACCCACACAGGCAGGTGGGGTCAGTTTTTTCGCAGACCCACCTTGCCCAGCGCCTCCTCAGAGCTCAAACATATCGTGTGCTGGAGCTTCGACACCCCAGCTATCCCCTGCACTCGACACAGCTTGTGCTCGGGATAACACACAGTTCTAGACATCCATGTTGGGGGTTTGCAGTCACCTGAGGCCTCCATCCACACCCGATAGCCTCAGGACCACAGCCTCTCCCACCTGGGCAAATTTATAGGCCTGATCAGGGGAGCCAGCACCTCTCTGCTCTAAAACACCACATTGACTGTGCCTGCAGGGCTGAGCCACACCGTGAGCTCAGAGGAAGGGAGAGAAGCCGCTCCCACTGGGCATGCAGACCTGGGCCTCCCACCATATATGTTGTGGTGGCCTTGACATGTCCCTGTGCCTCTGAGCCTCAGTTTCCTCATCTGAAGATGGGGAGGACTTCCACCTGTGGTTGCTTGAGGTCATCAGGTACAAGGGTGCAGGAGCCATTGTCACGCCTCCAGGCTCGAGCTGTCCCAGGCAGGGTCATGTCAAGATTATCTCGGGGAGACCTTGGAAACTCATCATGTGTATAGTGTCTGCTCATTTGGGAGGCCTTTGCCTCTGCCGGGCCACCATGGTCTGGCCCTCTGTGGCTCACTGAGGCCCATACTGGCCATCAGCCCACAGGCTGGGGCTCACCCCAGTAGAAGGACATGCCTTCCTCCCGCCTCCCAGGCCCCATTAAGATGTCTCCAGCGGCCTCAAACAGCTCCAGCCCTCCCAGGTTGAGTTGCCTGTGTACAGGTCCACATTCTGTGCACCTGAAAGGAGACAGAAGTTCCTCTCTAAGACTCATTGTCTAGCGCAGGTGGCTACGCGACCTGCTATTAGTGGCTCCTTCCCCACACTACAGGTACACTTGAGCATTTTTCAGACCCTGTATGTGCAGGGCTGCCCCCACCACTGGCATGAGGACAATGAACTGATGCTCCTGAGTGCCAGGAGGTGACTGGAGCAGCGGTATTCAGGAGCCCGACACACACCTGTGAATCCTACCACCAAGGATGGATGGATGCGTGGAAAGACGAATAGGTGAACGGATGATGGAAGGATGGATGGATGGATGCATGATTGGATGGATGGATGGAAGGACCCACAGGTGTATGGGAAGATGATGGAAGAATGGATGGGTGGATGGAGGATGGATTGATGGATAGAAGGATGAGCAGGTAAACAGATAGATGATGGAAGGATGAATGGATGGGTGGATGGACAGGTGAATGGATGGATAGACGGGTGAATAGATGGATGATAAAAGGATGGATGAATGAGGGATGGATGGATGATGGACGGATGGACAGATGGATGGATGGAGGGCTAGCCCTAGCCCACCCCCCGCACTCAAACCAGTCTCCGTGGCCCCCAGATTGCTGGGAGCCCAGCCTCTGGCTCCTTCTGCGTTGTCACATGCCCGCCACATCAGCAGTGTTTCAGTAAGTTTGTGGGTGGGCCTGGTCCCTCTGGCCATGAGCTCTGATCCCTCCTCAGCTCAAGGAGGTGTGGGCAGGTGCTCAATAATGAAAGCTTCCACTCAGGCCTGGGTGGACTTCACAATTTGTTCCAGATCACACTGTGTTTGGGAAAGCCTCTGAAACAGCCACTGTGATAGATTCCTTTGTAAGGAGATGTGCCACGTGTCGCTTTGGAGCAAGTTCTTCTGTGTTAACTGAGTGGTCACATTATTTGAGCATGTACTTATACCAGCAAGTGTTGTGTGACTCAGAGGGGCCGTGCCTCTGACCTCAGGAGAAGATGCTGAGCTACCGGGGAGGATGAGGAACCAGTTGGAGGGAGGGAAAAGGCACACAACAGGTGCCTGTAGCAGTGGCTTAGGAATGAGTGGATGGATGGATGAATGGATGAGGAGATGTAGACACATGGATGGATGGATGGGTGTGTGGATAGATTAATGCTGGGATGGATGGACTCTGGACGGTGGATGGATGGACTTGACGGGTGGGTGGGTGATGGGTGGGATGGATGGGTGGGTGGAATGATGTGTGTATGTCTGGATGTATGTATGCGTGGGTAGATAATGTATGGATGGTGGAGGGTGATGATGTATGTACATGGGGATGGATAGATGGTGGATAGATGAATGTATGGATAAACAAATGGACAGATAGATGAATGGAGGGATGCATTAATAGGTAGATTGGTGGGTGGGTGGATGGATGAATGATTGATGGATGGACGAACGGTGAATGGATGGATGGGTGAGAGGATGAGAATGGAAGGATCAATAGGTAGATGGATGGATGATGGAAGGATGGATGATGGATGGATGAACAGGTGAATGGATGGATGATGGACAGATGAATGGAACAACAAGTGGATGGATGAAGGATGGATGAATGGATGGATGGATGGATGGATGGATGGATGGACAGATGAATGGAAGGATGGATGGATGGATAGATGGATGAATCATGGATGGATGGAAGGATGAACAGGTGGATGGATGGTTGATAGAAGGATGAATGGATGGATGGATGGATGAACGGGTGAATGGATGGATGATAAAAGGACGGATGGATGAATGGACAGAAGGATGGATGATGGCTAGAAGGATGAACAGGTAAATGGATGGATGATGGAAGGATGAACGGACAAACAGATGGATGAATGGTGCTGAATGAATGGATGATAAAAGGATGGATGGATGAACAGGTGAATGGATGGATGGATGGAAGGATGAACAGGCGAGTGGATGGATGGAAGAATGAACAGATAAATAGGTGATAAAGGATGAATGTAATGGGTGGATGGACAGAGAGTGAATAGCACAGGGTTCCTCCTGCATCCCTTGCCACTCACCTGGATGTACAGGTCCACCAGCTCGCTCTGCCGCAGGATGTAATAGATCTTCCCTGCTTCTATGCAGCCAGGCATGTGCCTCCTTCTCTTCCTCTGGAGGTCAATGAAAATCCCCAGACTCTCTGTTTGGTGTAGTCCAGAGAGGATTTGTAGGCCCTGGAATCAGACATACAGGTGTCAGAACAAGGGCTTCCTATCCTCCTGGAACCAGTCTGCCTCCTCCCGTGGGTCTGGTGACAGATGAATCTGGCATGTGGGGACTGGGAACGGCCCTCTTGTGTGTGCAGTGTTCTGCCTTTCCCAGGCTGCTGGGAGGGCCAGGGTGAACACACACGGCATGGAAAAGATGAAGGACATCCTTCTGAGGGAATCGAGCATCATGCCGCCTGTGGCAGGAGGAGGAAGCAGTCCATCTCCCCTGCCTCCTGGTGACATGGCCGGTGTCTCTCCAGACGCACCAGGAGCCGTTAGTACCAGAGGCCATCTAGGCTGATGGTTCTCAAGGCAGGCAGGCATCACAGTCACCCGGGAGGCCTGTCCTTATATTTGCTGGGCCCTGCCCCCAGAGCTTCCGGCTCCACCGGCCTGGGGCAGGCCCTAGAACTCCCACTCTGCCACAAACCCCAGGTGACATGGATGCTGCTCTACTGGTCCAGGGACTACACTTTGAGAAGCATGGCTCTAGCACACTGGCCCATTTCTGTGAACCTGAGGTCAAGACCGACCTGGCCTCCTGGGTCCCTGTGGAATCTGGGCGGCTCCTCTCTGCCTCTCTCTCAGTAAGTCCAACACTCAAGGGGCGCGGACTGCAGCAATGTCACTGGGCCCTATGGGTGGGTACAGCCATGGTTACCCCACCAGGTCAGGATGCTTGGAGGAAGCTGACTTAGGCCAAATATGGGATGTGAGGATCTGAAAACCCTGCCCCAGAGAAGCAGGTGACACAACTGGCTCTGTCTTCTGTGGGAGAGAAGCCACAGGTGGCTACTGTGGTCACATTTCTAAGGGGACAGATGAAGGCCAGGAGGAAGATTCGGGGCAGGCACAGGTAAGATGACAAAAAGCCACCAGTAGGAAGAATGCCCAGAGTGCAATGTACGTTCTGCTGGGCTGGAGATGACCTTGACCCAACAAGGAGGCTGCTGGGATCACGGGCCAGCAGCCCTGGGATGACCCCAGAATGGCTAGCTCAAAGCATCTGATGCCAAAGCACCAAATGATCAAAAGGAGAGAGGGGCTGCTGGCCTGGGCCAGCTTCCCTGTGCCCTCCTGCCCGTCCTCTCACCTCCACCACTGCAAAGCCAGCCCTTACCGCTCCATGCCCAGGGACAGGTAGACCTGACTGAAGCCTCCAGGAGCTGCCCCTCCAGCACCTTGTCGGCCACCTTGCAGGCCAGGGAGAGCTGGAGATCGTGGTAGATGACGACTGGGACTCGCTGGGCATGACGGTGGCTGTAGAAGTAGCACAGTCACTGGACGGCCCGCAGTTGGTCTGGGCAGAAGGCAAAATGGAAGACGTTAGTCTCCCAGCATCGAAGTGAGGCTGGCTGTGCCGGAGGCCCTGCTTGCCTCCTTCACTCCTCTGTGAGCCTGGGCTCCATAGGCGGGGCTGCCCAAGCACAGACAGGCTATGCACCTGCGCCAGGCAGACGCTGAGCACACCAGACATGGGCACATCTTGGTGCAGATGCCTGCAGTGGCGGCCGGCCTTCTTTACAACTCCGGTGGCCAGGTTGTGATGGACACAGAGTGAACAGCAGGGGCTCGGCCCCTGCACCAGGCCATCTATTTCTGCTTCACAAAGACCCTCTGCCAGACCAGGGCTGCCTTCAGCCTGAGCTGATGAGGCCAGGGGCACAAGTGGCCCCTGTCGCAGATAGAACCCTGAGAGAGCAAAGCTGTTTTACTATGTCTGCCACACACGGCATCATGTTGGGGGAATGATTCAAAGCTTGCCTCATGCTCCTGCACACATGCTTCTCTCATGCAACCAGGCTCCCAAGCCACAGGCTCACTGGCCTCTCCCAAAGCCTGATTTCTAGTGTCAGAAACGTTCCGGAGATTAACATAGAAACCAGGCACGCCGAATGGACATCTGTCACACGACACCCAACAACAGCCGAACATGTCCTCTGAGCACCTGATGGACATTGCCTCCATGACAGACCATGTGCCAGGCCACAAAATGAGCCTCAGTGAATGGAGAAGGACTCAGACCAAAGCAGAGGTGTTCTTCAGCTGTACTGGCACACAAAACTGAAATCGACAGTGAAGAAAGTGTGGGAAATTCAAAATATGTGAAAAACTACACACTCCTAAACAACCAGTGAGTCAAAGAGACCATCAGGAAACCTCTAAAAACTAATTTGAGAAGAATGCAAAACAAAATGCACAGCCCCCGGCCAGTGCGGTGGCTCACGCCTCTCATCCCAGCACTGTGGGAGGCCGAGGCACGAGGATCGCTTGAGTCCAGGAGTTTGAGATCAGCCCAGGAAACATGGTGAAATCCCGTCTATATTAAAAAAAAATACGGCTTGGCGGGAGCAAGATGGCCGAATAGGAACAGCTCCAGTCTCCAACTCCCAGATGCGAGCGCAGAAGACCGGCGATTTCTGCATTTCAACTGAGGTACTGGGTTCATCTCACTGGGGAGTGCCAGACGATCGCGCGGTCAGCTGCTGCAGCCCGACCAGCGAGAGCTGAAGCAGGGCGCAGGCATTGTTCACACCTGGAAAGCCATGTAAGGGAATCCCTTCTCAGCCAGGGAACTGAGACACACAACACCTGGAAAATCGGGAATTCCACCCCAATACTGCGTTTTAAGCAGACAGGCACACCAGGAGATCATATCCCACACCTGGCCGGGAGTGTCCTACACCCACGGAGCCTCCCTCATTGCTAGCACAGCAGTCTGTGATCTAACCACAAGGCAGCAGCAGGCTGGGGGAGGGGCGCCCGCCATTGCTGAGGCTTAAGTAGGTAAACAAAGCTGCTGGGAAGCTCCAACTGGGTGGAGCTCACAGCAGCTCAAGGAAACCTGCCTGTCTCTGTAGACTCCACCTCTGGGGACAGGCACAGTAAATAATAACAAACGCAGCAGCTCTGCAGACGCAAACGACTCTGTCTGACAGCTTTGAAGAGAGCAGTGGATCTCCCAACACGGAGGTTGAGATCTGAGAAGGGACAGACTTCCTGCTCAAGTGGGTCCCTGACCCTGAGTAGCCTAACTGGGAGACATCCCCCCAATTAGGCAGCCCTGACACCCCACACCTCACAGGGTGGAGTACAATCTCTGAGAGGAAGATTCCCAAAGCAAGAATCAGACAGGTACACTCGCTGTTCAGAAATATTCTATCTTCTGCAGCCTCTGGGCTGCTGATACCCAGGCAAACAGGGTCTGGAGGACCTGCCACCTCCTAAGGAAGCATAACTCTACAGCTGAGATCCTGACTGTTAGAAGGAAAGCTATCAAAACAGGAAGGACACCTGAGCCACCAAAACCCCATCACACATCACCATCATCAAAGATCAGAGGCAGATAAAACCACAAAGATGGGGAAAAAGCAGGGCAGAAAAGCTGGAAATTCAAAAATAAGAGCGCATCTCCCCGGCAAAGGAGCGGCAGCCTATCACAGCAATGGATCAAAGTTGGACGGAGAATGACTTCGACGAGATGAGAGAAGAAGGCTTCAGTCCATCAAATTTCTCAGAGCTAAAGGAGGAATTACGTACCCAGCGCAAAGAAACTAAAATCTTGAAAAAAAAAGTGGAAGAATTGATGGATAGAGTAATTAATGCAGAGAAGCTCACAAACGAAATGAAAGAGACGTAAAAACCATGGCACGAAATACGGACAAAATGCACAAGCTTCAGTAACCGTCTCGATCAACTGGAAGAAAGAATGTCAGCGATGGAGGATCAAAATGAATGAAATGAAGCGAAAGAGAAACCAAAAAGAAAAAGAAGAAAAAGAAATGAACAAAGCCTGCAAGAAGTATGAGATTATGTAAAAGACCAAATCTACGTCTGATTGGGGTGCCTGGAAAGAGGGGGAAAATGGAACTAGTTGGAAAACACTCTTCAGGATATCATCCAGGAGAACTTCCCAACCTAGTAGGGCAGGCCAACATTCAAATCCAGGAAATACAGAGAACGCCACAAAGATACTCCGAGAAGAGCAACTCCAAGACACATAATTGCCAGATTCACCAAAGTTGAAATGAAGGAAAAAATCTTATGGGCAGCCAGAGAGAAAGGTCGGGTTACCTTGGGCTAAAAGGGAAGCCCACTGTGACTAACAGCAGATCTCTTGGCAGAAACCCCCAAGCCAGAAGAGAGTAAGTAATATTCAACATTTCTAAAGAAAAGAATTTTAAACCCAGAATTTATATCCAGCCAAACCAAGTTTCCATATGAAGGAGAAATAAAATCTCTTACAGATAAGCAAATGCTTAGAGATTTTGTCACCACTAGGCCTGCCTTACAAGAGCTCCTGAAGGAAGCACTAAACATGGAAAGGAACAACCGGTACCAGCCATTGCAAAAACATGCCAAAATGTAAAGACCATCAAGGCCAGGAAGAAACTGCATCAACTAACGAGCAAAATAACCAGTTAATATCATAATGGCAGGATCAAGTTTACACATAACAATCTTAACCTTAAATGTAAATGGACTAAATGCTCCAATTAAAGACACAGACTGGCAAACTGGATAAAGAGTCAAGCTCCATCAGTCTGCTGTATTCAGGAGACCCATCTCACACGCAGAGACATACATAGGCTCAAATAAAGGGATGGAGGAAGATTTACTACAAATGGAGAATACAAAAAAGTTGGGGGTTGCAATACTAGTCTCTGATAAAACAGACTTTAAACCATCAAAGATCAAAAGATGTAAAAGAAGGCCATTACATAATGGTAAAGGGATCAATTCAACAAGAAGAGCTAACTATCTCAAATATATATGCACCCAATACAGGAGCACCCAGATTCATGTGCTAAGTCCTTAGAGATCTACAAAGAGACTTAGACTCCCATACAATAATAATGGGAGAC